CATGCACGGAGAGAACATGCAAACTCTACCCAGAAAGGTCCCCGGACCGGGATTTGATCTGGTGACCCTCTTGCTGAGAGGCATCAGCACTACCAACTGAGCCACCGTGCCGCCATATATATATTTATATATATATGATTAATGTTAAGTCTGCAAGTAAAACTGTAAAACTTACCAAACACTCCAGCAGCCTGGCAGGCCTGGAAATGATGATGAGAATCTTCTTCACCAGCTTTATGATGATCGTCACCTCCTCACTCTCTGAACGCTCATAAGCCTGATTAGAGAAGGGCAGAGGATGAAGGATTATTAATGAAACCTAATCCAATTCTCACAAACTATAGAGGTATACAGTAGCTAAGAGAGCTTGTAATTTGCACTGGCTTATTTTGTGTATTTATTTTATTMCCCTTTTATTAGATACCAGTAATTTGTGGAGTTGCTTCAGTAGATTGAATGTACTAAGCCAACAATACCTAGTCCTTGTTAAACAGCAAGTTCAAAGAGTACCAGTYCAGAATTCTGTCTGCATTTGCATTTTAAAATGTATGTGTTACTAATATAATATGGTCAACATAAGATAAATCACAGGATGGAAACAGACAAACAGACAGAGTTAAAGTTGATTTAGTCAATAATTTACTGAATAAAAATATAAACACKGCACTTTTGTTTTTGCTCCCATATTTCATGAGCAGAGCTCAAAGATCTAAGACTTCTTCTATATGCACTTCTTCCTTCAAATATTGTTCAGAAATTTGTGTAAATCTGTGTTGGGGGCACTTCTTCCTTTGCAGAGATAATCTATCCCACCTGTAGCGTAACGTGACTCTTCTCTCATCAAGAACTGTTGCTTTGTTATCTCTACACTTCCTGCCTTTCATGAACACACTCAAACAGGAAGTCACGCTGTGATGACCATCCAGATCACAGACTCCTAGTCTCAGTGTCTGCTGGYTCCATGTTACAATCAACTTCAAAGCTTTAAAGACAGTTGTCCTGTTGAGATGAAATCGTTTTTATCTCTCAAAGACCTTGAATGTGTGATCCATGCTTTTATTACATCTCAGCTGGATTATTGTAACTCTCTGTATGCTGGAGTTAGCCAGGCTGGCCTCTCACGCCTGCAGCTGGTTCAGAACGCTGCAGCTCGTCTTTTAACACAGATGAAGAAGCGTGATCATATGTCCCTGGTGCTGCTTCCCTTCATTGGCTCCCATGTTATGTCTGAATGGACTGATCCTGAATACCTGTCTGACCTCCTGCAGTCCTATGTGCCTCCAGATCTATCAGATCCAGTGYTCATTTGCTCTTGGCTGTCCTGCGGTCCAGACTGGTCCACAGAGGTGACCGAACCTTTTCAGTTGTGGTTCCTAAACTGTGGAACCAGCAGCCTCTTCACATCCGACAGGCCTCAACTCTTGGAGTTTATAAATCTCTTCTCAAAACACACCTGTTTTCAAAAGCTTMTAATGTAGTTTGAGAGTTGTTTCCCTGTTTATTTGGTCTGTATTTATGGTTTTATCATTTGTGTTCTTTTAGCAATGCTTTGTTTTTAGTTTGCAATATGTGAAGCACTTTGGCCAACAGCAGTTGTTTTTAAATGTGCTGTATAAATACAGTTGACTTGACTTGAAAGAAAACAGAGACTCCAAACAGATGCCAAACTAACATCAGAAGACTCCACCAGATTTATCTGTGGGTCAACAGTGACCCCKTTAGGACCCTTTTTGTAATTACTCATGTGAACATGTCATAGTTTTACCATGTGACCGATTTTAGCCAATGACAAAGGCTCTCCTGTGGACACAAAGAAGAGCCTTCTCCCATTTAGTCAGTCTAGAGTTTGGATCTGAGAGATATAGGTCAGAGAGAGAGAGAGGGTTAATTATTTTTAGGCCCCGGTCGGGGAAGTTTATTTTATTTATTTTATCAATATCCTTTTAGAACTTGCGGAGTTTATGAGGGAGAAGCGTAAGTTTGAGTGAGTTTTGACATCGAGCCAGAGTTACCACACTAATCAGCTGGATGCGGGAGCAGAGGGCAGTCATCACTCCAGAGAACGCCAACCACCTGATAGCAACTCCGGTTTGCAAGCCATCTTGGGACCTCACTAAATAAGTCTTTGGGGACCGGACAACACGTTGAGTCCCGAAGCCATCAGGTACCATCATGTGAGATGCAAAGCATGTTCCCCGGTAAGATTGCTCTGAGTTAACCTGGTAGGTGTGTGTGCTCAGACGCTCTCAAACTAGTTAGARCAGAGTTGCTTAACTTGGCGGATGAAGAACTTAGCTGAAGCTTAGGTTCTTCTTCATAAAGTCAGTTTGTAGTGGACTAGTTTAGGTAATGTTTTTCTATTCGTTAGCGTAGAAAATTTCTAGGTTGTGAATGATTCAGTGAAAATATGTTACAAGTGTTTGGTAWAGAGAAGCCATTTTGTTAAATGACGTCACCTTCTGTTATCGTAGCAAAGTTARTGAGACCTGATTTAACTGTACTGACTTGTAATTACCTCTGAATCATTCAATAGAGGATTATTTTGTCGAAATCACCTGCTTCTTGTCTGTGTCGTTATTGTTTGATACGTTATAAACTGAAAAGAATTTAAAGCTTTAGATTAAGAGTCTGGTTTTAGATCGTCATCAGAATCAACAAGGTTTCCTGAGGTTCCTTTAAGAGAAAATTTCAGTGGTGCCCCCAAAGGTAATAAATAAGCTTATAAAATAAAGATAAACCTTTATTTTAACGAAACATTAATCCTACACACCTCTCAGGTGTCACATCAAGATGATGATTAGACAGCATGGTTATTGCAAAGGTGTGCCTTAGGCTGGCCACAATAAAAGGCTACTCAGGAATGTGCTGGTTTGCTTCATGACAGGGTCTGAAAACCAGTCTTTACTGGTGTGACCACCATTTGCATCACGCAGTACAACACATCTCCTTCTCATAGAGTGGATCAGGTTGTTGATTGTGGCCTGTGGAATGTTGTTCCTCTCTTCTTCAATGGCTGTGCAAAGTTGATGGATATTTGCAGGAACTGGAACAAACTGTTGTATATGCCGAACCAGAGCATCCCAAACACGCTCAATGGGAGACACATGTTGCAGTATGATAATGCAAGGATCTGCATTATCCTGGAATTCCTGGAAGCTGAAAACATCCCAGTTTTTGCATGGCCAGCATGCTCGCCAAAGCCATACACAGACTTCCCACTGAGGCGCCTTGATACAGCACTCAGTGGGAAGGAAAAAGTGTGGCAGAAAACGCTGCACAACAAGAAGAGTTGTCAGTCAGTGATGGTCTGGTGCCATGTCAGCTGGTGTTGGTCCACTGTGTTTTATCAAGGCCAGGGTCAATGCAGCTATCAGGAGATGTTGGAGCACTTCATGCTTTATGGAGATGAAGATTTCAT